TGTTGAGTGGAAATGATACAATTTCAGAAATGTTCTAATAGAAAAGTGTTGATGAAACGTATAAGTATAAAAGCAGACATGAAGCGTTTTGTTGTGTAGCAGCATGCGCTCCGATATTCTTATTGATGTCACAGTATTTTTCGTCACCCTGTGTAGTTAATTGGTATGGAAGAATAAATAAAGAAACACTTTTATTCACTACTTTGTTAATAAATATCGTATTTTGAATGTTAAGTTCCGCTTTCTTTTCCAATTTCCACGTGTAGTGGCGGTGTAGAACGTGCGGTTTCTTCAAAGGCTATTTATGCCTAGTGGTCCATCAGTGGATAAAAGGATAACTAATCAAATATTGTTAAATAAATGAAATCTTTATATTTTTGCATAAAGTTTAGATTTATATAGGAACTGTGAAAACTGTTTCAAGTTAACCGAAAAAACAACCGTAAAAAACTATGTGACACTGATATTTTTCCTCAGCATTTTTTCATTAAAATAATTCTGACATTGTATCATTTTAATTCCACAATGTTTCTGGCGGACTGCAATTATAAGCCTGCTCATCAATGTACTTTGCTGAGATAAACTGGTAATGGTATTAAGATTTGAACCTTATAGTCGAAGTATCCAATAAATTATACCTTGACGGCTGACAGCTGTTAACCTCAAACAGTTTTCACAGACACGATGCATTCTCCCATATAAATCAAAATATTACGGAAAACCATAAAGGTGTCACTTATTTAAGAATATTTGCTTAGTGACCCTTTTTATCCATTACTCAGAAATTGAAAGTAGCCTTTCCACAAACTGCCTTTCCACTAAAACTGATCATCAAACTTTTCTCATAAACGGCTTGTCCAGCTAGCGGTATGCTTTTTTCGAAAAGTCAAAAGGATCGTCACAGTGTGACACTTTTGACCGTTTTTTCCCACACCGTGACGGTCCTTTTGGCTTTTCTTTGATTAATACAGATTAATTACAGTAGTTTCGAACTTAACAAGTTATCACATCTTGTAGAGCAAACAATTTTCTACAAACAGGTATACTTGTTGAATTTTCGTCTGCTCGTCTTCAGTCTTTTAGACACGTTTTTCAGATAGCTCTAAAATGGATTTTGGGGGTTGTTAGTACAACAGCTGTATTTTCATAACTAATCAATATTCAGAGCCAAGACACTTTTCATTTTGTAGAGAAATGTTTAATGTACTTAATTATGTTGTTGCAATTTCAGATTAGTTTGTACCTTTACTGCAATAATCTTTTGAAAAAGAACGAAAAAAGCATACCGCTAGCTGGACAAGCCGTTTATGAGAAAAGTTTGATGATCAGTTTTAGTGGAAAGGCAGTTTGTGGAAAGGCTACTTTCAATTTCTGAGTAATGGATAAAAAGGGTCACTGAGCAAATATTCTTAAATAAGTGACACCTTTATGGTTTTCCGTAATATTTTGATTTATGGGAGAATGCATCGTGTATGTGAAAACTGTTTGAGGTTAACAGCTATCAGCCGACAAGGTATAATTTACTGGATACTTCGACTATAAGGTTCAAATCTTAATACCATTTTCCGTTTTATAAGATACCTTATTTTTTGAGAGAGTAATGCTAAGTTGTTGCTTTGAATGTAGCCATTCACGTTGATTGAGTAATTTTTGAACGGAAACTGCAGCAATTTTGCCGTTGAAGATTTGAACTTTCAACTATTTGTACCATATGGTTGAAGTATCCAGTAAATTATAACTTGCGGTCAATAGTTGTCAACTTCAAACAGTTTTCATAGACATGATGCCTTCTCCTGTATAACTCAAGATTTTATTGAAAACTATAAAGGTTTCAGTATTCACTGTCGATTTAAATGTATCGGCTTAGAACAGATTTATGATTTTACGTCAAGAAGTGCATTATCGTTTTAGAAACATTAGTAATGGTTTTACTTGTCAAAAGCTCGAAAATTGGCTTTATGATAGTTTCGGCGTTTATTAGCAGAGATGTTAGTTCACCCATTGTGAAATTCGATAAAAACTTAGAATTTGTACATTTTTAAAAATTTTTGATTCGGATTGTGAGTTTTAGCTGTCGATTCATGCACACTCTGCTGTATAACCGAGCAGAACATACTCTCAGAGGTGCTTGTTTTAATACGAAAAGAAATGATACAATACGACGAAGAAAGAATAAAGGAATAGGAAATTACTTTTACTTGGAAAATTCCAACTTACTTGGTAAAATGCTGTAGAAAATTTTTTGGGAAGTACCTCGATCTAAGAGTTGTTTCGTACAATGCAATCGATTGCAGTCAGTTCAAATCCAAGTCGGTATGGGCTGAACAAGCATTCAACTTTCTCAGTCCAGATTGCAGTGGACTCTTTTGGTTTAACTTTTCCTTAATCCTTTAGGACCGGTGACGCTTTAAAGCGTCATTAAAACGTCAAAAATCGGAATCAGCCGTGTTTTCCAAAACTTTCTTTTGAAGAAAAGTCCCTCAAAATTCGGTCATAATCAAATTTCAAATACATCATCTTATGCAGTTTTTGACGCTCTATCTTTTGATGTATAATACATCTGCATAATATTTAGTTCTGAGTTAGAAATCTAAGTTTTTCCGAAAATTTCGGTCCTTCTCGGTAAAAGAGGGTTTTCAGTACGAAGACAGAATCGAAAGTGAAAAATGTTTTTGTAAGTAGATAGCTCTTGAAATTCTCTATCGAGACATTGCCATTTGAATTTTTTTGTCGAAAATCTCTTGGTTAGGAAAAACAAAATACTGAAGATGCGTTTTTTCCGTTTTTTAGGAAAAATACTGTTTTCTACCTAACTCCGCCAAAATAAGTTGAAACTGAACGATATTTTCACTTATCGTAGAGTTTAGTGATAGCTTTCTTTTGACGAAAGGATGAAGTCTCTATCTGTCAGGGAAGCCGAGATACTGCAAAAATAAAAAAAGCCTTAAACATTTGAACAGGACTGTGTATATAAAAATTAAACCGGTCCCGAAAGGGTTAATAAATAGCTGTTAGATTACCGTAAAAAAACTAATAATTTAGAGAAAAATAGTGTTCCTAAATAGCATATATGCTATTCAGGAATAAAAAAGACAGAAAAAGTTTGGTTACTTGTTCTTTTGAAAGTTTGATTCCGGACAGGCAGAGACCACTGACCATACTGTTGGACTCTGGTAGAAGTCTCGATAAAAAACTTAAATGAGCTTGCACTGGCTGGAATAAGATGTGCTCTGGATCATTTAGTTCTCGATAGTCAAGAAAGCGTCCACTCTCGTCTTGTACCAGCATCCACTAACTTACATTGATGATGACAGAATAAATTCCTATTTCCTCTAAAGATATTACTCAAAAGTTCTCCAAGTAACATTCTATGTTGCGTCAAAATAAACTTACTGTTCACATGATTATCATTAAAGATTTTAGCGGCTTTTATTGCAATTCGTCTTGTTGATGTAAACGACGAAAAAATAATTTACCTTGAAGCATTTAGATATGAAAACAACCTCAGATATTAGAGCAGTTTGAAAAAGAAGAGAAAAAGAAAAATGCACCCAACAGTCCGATTACTTAAATATTCATTGCTCTCAACAACCTATATGGAAAAAGATAAAAGAAAGAAGAAGAATAAAATGTTGGAAAAAAACCAACATAAAAACAGCATATTATAATTCATTTGTTTTATGTACATCTTTTCTTGAGTATTCATCATCACAATTCAAGAAATTCTTGCAGAATAGATCATTCTTTAGTCTAAATGTGGAAAAATACATACATAAGTATTTCCTATTTATGGTCTTTCCTGCCCAATTATGAAAACCCTCTATTCTTATATAAATGTTTTATGTATGAACCGACATTGAGAGAGAAAAAGCAGGCTTAAATCCAATTATGGACTTTTAAGGTCCATCAAATCCAAGTAAGTCCAGGGATTTACGGAGACTTTTATGGATCTACGTGAATTTATATAGACTTCGATCGCCTTGATGAATTTTTGGATTTTTCTAGGCTTTACAGACTTTAAAGTAAGCTCGATTCTGAATTCAATTTTTAAATTTTTTCAAATTTAAAAATTTAACGCGTTTGAGTGTCCGAAATGTGACAAAAAACATCCTGCTAAACGTGTTAATTTCTTTGAAAATTTTAGCGCACTCTAAGCGCGTTTTTTTTTTGCAGAAAAGTTTGTCTAAGTCTTTTCATTTTTCCATCCCACATTTTTAGTTATAGTAAATGGTATTGGTTCATCAGCTGTTTGCAGCAGATAATTAATATTGTCGTATTGAATTGATTCAGTTACATGATCAATCGAACAATCTCATATCGTTCTCGATCGATCTCTAAAGTTTGTAAGGTGCTATAATAAAACTAAATAGAGGAAACCAGATGGATTTGCTACCAGTTTTTACTCAAATGAAATCGCACAGCAAAACCAAATTCAAAACCAAATTCACATCAATCAGAAACACATGTATAATAGCGAAAGCATTCAGATTTAACAGATGTGACACGTAACCGAAAAATAAAACATCATCACTCTATTTTATTTTGATATCCACTGCACAATACAATCGTAGCATTATGTGATCAGACTGACTCATATTAAGCGGTGCTTGGTCATGTTTTTAGAGCTAATGAGAATTGCTTTTCATCAAAATATTGTGGCGCAATAAATCAGCCGTTGAAGCATAAATGGGGTTTCAACTATTAATTCAAAAATAATTTGTAATTCTGTTCTCCAACCGCGTTTTCAATCTTTAGTTGTTATCTAACAGTAGAAATTCTCATCGATAATTGGGCAATAGCCATGTCGCATTCTGAAAACATGAAATCATCGTATTATTGTTGTCCGGTGTACTTGAAGGAGAAGTATCAATGGGATATGTGTTCCACATGAATGCTCTACATTATCTATCGAGCATATATTCTTTTCACCTGTTATTGTGCTGAAAATGCACATACCACAATAACCACAACAACATTTAACATCAAAACTAATACTCAACATGCTTAATAATAGACTTGGTGGCAATAATAGACTTGGTGTTGGAAACAACTTTCGACCAGAAATTAATTTAATTATACAATGGACACCAGAGTTTGCTGCTGCATACAATTCTTTCTTTAATGGTGGATTAGGGTTAGGCAGAGTTGGTCTTGGTGGCCTTGGAGTACTTGGCGGAGGTTTATGTGGTCAGATCGGAGCACCAAGTATTGGACTCCCCGCTCAGGTTATTGGTTTCGGGTATACAACAACAGTCGCTCCAGGAGCTCTTGGTCAAGCAAATCCCTACTCAGCTGCGCTGGTCCCCAGATTTCCCGGTGCTAGAACCGTCGATACAATAACAACAGTAAAAGCTAATAAGGACGGATTAAGAGGAAGAATACACGGTGCCAACAGACCAAGACCTCAGCAAGTTCATGTATCCAGTCGGCGGCGACGACGATTCTGATTTATAAGAAATGGCTTTTTGACCAAACAACACAATAAGTTCCACTCTTTGTTCTAGAGTAGTCGTACTTATCTATTTTACAGGCTAACATAATCATATGTTTAAGAAAGCCTCCCCGAGATGATCGATTGTTGTAAACTATTTTATTATTTCTAAATAACGTCTCAATTTTCTGAAGGAAAAAGGGTGTTCAAACTTTTAGCAAAACTTGTGCTTCGATATTTTAAGAGCCGTTGCACAGTAAGAACGATCTAAGTTGCTCAATCAATGTCCAGTTTTTCCGATCAAACTTTCACAATAGGGCAGCAACATATTCAGGAGGATTAACTTTTAGGTAATTAGTGGGTAAAACGGGTACTCCGTTCACGTGTGGAGTATTCGAATCCGGTCTCAAAAGTTTGGAATCTTGGAAGGATGCGTGGAAAACCCCTTAAGTTTACCAAAAAAGTTTTTAAATTACATAATAGGAAAGAGTAGAAAATTCTGAACAAAATGAGGCATTGCTCATAGTTTTAGCAATTACTTTACAAAGGTGAGAAAATAACAGATGTTGAAGCAAAAATGGTTCACTATAAAAACCTAATTTTTAGGTTGTCGAATTGATGGCTTAGAACAACTGAAAAACTCTCAATGATATCTCATATTGTTAAGAATTTTGTACTCATTTTTTAGACGCTGAAATTTCCATTGAGAGGACTGTAGAAAACAGTCCAGAACTCAGAAAATAAAAGTCCTAGAAGGCTCAAAATTTGGATTTATAGGTTTTCACACATGCTGAACAAGATAGCACTAGTTAGAAGCAACTCTGAGACATCGATTGAGCATGACTCGTTGCTTCTCTCATGCAATGGCTCCTACGCCATTGGTAAATCTGTCATAAATCTGCTTTCAGACTTCAGTAGACTAAGGTTCGTGGATTCACGTGGTCCCGGCATTCTGGGAAGTATCGGATGAGAAAACTGAATTTTGATTAGAGCCCCATTTCACTTTGGAGCCACTTTGCTGCTCCATTATAACTCAGGAAAGACAGTTGGTTAAATTAAAGCTAGCATTTTCTGTACTCATGTACGCATACTATATATACCGATGACATTGAGGTCAATGTGTGATTTCCGGCAAACAAAACATTTTCCAAAATGGTACAAAAGTAAAATTTTTACCTTCAATGTCCGCACACATGCCACATTTATTCTTGCATATGCTCTTTGATATGGATACTACTCGGCCCTGACTACTTATGCTCCAAGTAGCAGGTCTTAATGTGCTTTCTAGACCGAGATACAACCATCGCAAATTTCACATTTACACACTTATCTTTTCAGGGTGTTTTTAGGAGTATTAAAAAAATTCGATAACTTTTGAAGTGAATAAGTTAAGGTCGAACGATTTTGGGAATCCTCCTGAATATGTTGCTGCGGCCTATTGTGAAAGTTTAATCGGAAAAACTGGACATCGATTGAGCAGCTTATACGACAAAAGGCTGTCCGTACCCTGCAATGGCTCATAAAAATAACGCCGGTAGGCGTTTCACTCACTAATCACCTAAAAGTTCGAGTGATGCATCACTGAATGTAGATGAATAGGTTTTTATGGGTGAAAATTAGGTATTAACGTTCAAAAGCCGGTTTCCGTTTGAACTTAAAAACCACAAATTTCTGTTTTAATATCCGTATACAGTAACTGCTTGACTACATAATACCGCAAAGATATCCAGAAAACTATTTATCCTCTCATGCAGAAAAGATATTTGAAAAATAGCTTTAAAATTCAAAAATGATCACTCAACACTCACCACGTGACACATGTAGTGACCCATGTGACTAAGGTCAACGGTAGGCTGAACATCAACTTAAACGATGAAGTAAACCTGATATCTTTATCACGTTATAAAGCTGAGATATTTCAGTTTTGCTGAAACCGGTACCTCATGCTGAAATCGATATCGAGCTTTGAAAACTTCATAGCTCAGTAAGCATGCATTATTTTTTCAATCGCTAAACATTACGTTTTACTCAGAAGTCTCTGCTCTTTCAAATGGGGTCGAAAAAGTCGAAATATTTTTTCCGCCCTGAAAGCTTCTCTATGGCACTGGGTTACGGCTTACGTGCAATGACTGATAATCAACTTTTTCTAAATAAATTCTTGCACTGGTTCCACAAGTTTCAGCTCGTTTTAGATGATTCCATGAAATTGAGTCTAATGCACAGCATCGGGTACAAAACATTTTACTAGGTATAGAGAATAAGAGTGAAGTATCATAGTATTTTACCGTCCAAAAACCTTCGCACGTTGAGAAGCCCAGCCTATTTTAGAAACGCAGCAGGATGAGCTCAAATCTTTTGTTAAAATTTACATTTATATTTATCGCAAAAATAATTTTGCTCACTTCTGTCACTTGACCAAATTCCTACCCAAGCAAACATCAACTGTGGAAAAAATCTAGATACATTTTGTCTGTAATCGGGTGACACACAGTTACTTGCCATCCAGGTTACTAGTTGGAAAAGAGACTTTTAACTAGATACGCCTGCATGTGTAACTAGTAATAGTTAAATCGATCGATTATCGGTGCATAAATTGTAACTAGAAGGCACCTAGCAATCGCCCGATTACCAGATTTCCATCGTTGTTACCAAATGCTTGTAATCTAGTAAAAATCTGGCAATCTGCATGACTCGGGCAATACTAGCCATTTTTATCAAGAGTCGGTGGTATTTCTGTCTTTTGAAACACTGCGATGGACGGACGGTATATAATAAGGATTCAACTCTTAACCGCCATACTCCGCCATCCACGAACTTTGACATTTATCGTCCCGAAAGTATGTAATTTATCTGCATATCTATGTCAAGAAAGAAAAGAATAAAATAATAAACACGAAAAGACCTGGTTATATAAAAGCATGTGTTTGTACTCATTGAGAGAAAAGTACAGAATTTTGGCTGACTATTTCATAATCATCAACCATGCTAACAGCAATATTAATAGCTTTCATTCTTACATTGCTCGTTATCTATTGCTTCTATATTAATCAATTTTATGATTTTTTCATTAAACTCAAAATACCTGGTCCTGAACCTCAATTTTTTATGGGTAATTTTTGGGAAATAATTAAAATGCGCAGTACCGCATTTCCATTAAAGGCATGGACAGAAAAATATGGTAGTTTATATGGCTATTTTGAAGGACATAGACCAATTTTAGTGTGTTCCGATCCTGATATACTACAAGATGTATTTATTAAAAAGTTCTCAAATTTTCATTCACGTCGACGTTTTCCATTAGAAGAACGCCACTCAAAAAGTATCCATTTATTTAGCGCTGTTGGTCTTCGTTGGAAACGTCAGCGATTTGTCATTAATCCAACATTTTCATCAATAAAATTGAAACAAATGTCACCACTAATGAATTCATGCATTGATCGACTAATGCATAAATTAGACGCAGAATATCACAAGAAAACAGCATTTGATATCTATCAGTTGTACAAGAGGCTAACAATGGATGTGATATGGACGTGTGGATTTGGTGTTGACACCGATATGCAAAATAATCCGGATAATCCATATCTAACTCATTCTCAACGTATATTTTCAGATGATCAGAACAATAAATTTCTTATTTTACTTGCATTACTCATTAAAGAACTAGAATTTATATGGAAAGCCCTCCATGACACCGAAAATAATGTCCGACATTGGACACGAAAATATTTGCCATTTACAGGAGCATACATCGATGATGAACCATCGACATGGATCCTAAAACGTGTAGAACAAATTATAAAACAGCGAAAAGAATCTGGCGTGCAACGAAATGATCTAATGCAGTTGATGCTGGAATCGGCAACAGATGGAGACATCAAGGTGAGACTACAACTTGTGGTAGTGACCTTTTCAACGACCTTTTATGTTTTAGGACTCAGGGAGTTCGTTTACTCAAACCGGTGCTGAAGATGTGCCCATTGTTAAAAAGATTACGTTAAAAGAAATATCGGCTAACGTTTACTTATTCATGATTGCCGGCTATGAGACAACATCAACAGCTTTAGCTTACTGTACATATGCGTTGGCCACACATCCACATGAACAGCATAAGTTACAAGAGAGCATTGACCAACATTTTGACTCAGAAAGTGATTATATCTTACCTGATTATGACACTGTTGCTAACATGGAATATCTTGATTGGTTCATCAGAGAAACATTAAGATTCTATCCGATCGTACCTGTTGCTGTCAATCGTGAAAGTTCTGAACCATTTGAAATTAAAGGTGTTGGCACTATACCGGCTGGTACACAAATCTCGATAGATATGTACGGTTTGCATTTTAATCAAGAGTTATGGGGACCTGTCGATGTTAATACATTTTATCCTGAACGCTTTAGAACAAAACGACATCCCATGGCATGGATGCCATTCGGAAGTGGCTCAAGAAATTGTGTTGGAATGAGATTCGCTTTGATGGAAATGAAAATAGTTTTAGCTCGTCTATTAAAAACATATTCAGTAGTTAAATGTGATACGACAGATAAATATTTTGAACTCAAAGAATATATTTGTATTCATCCGAAGAAAATAATGGTTAATTTACAGCGGCGTAATGAACCACAACATGTTGAATAGTTATGCATAAACATCTGCGTTGTACTTTTACAAATACCATCGTTTCCTCTTCTACTTTTTGTTTTGTGTGTAGGATATAACTAGGGAGAAAATGGCAAATTGTGCACTTGTAGAGTAAAGTTTTTGTGGACTAATCTAAAACCAATTTATAACCAATTTAATTACCAGTAAATCCAGATTAGTCCGCAAGTTCAAAATGTTCTATTTTCTCCTTACGAGCGAACTTTTCAGATGTCAAACTCCAATTTAAATGAAATATTGTCTGTATATCCTATGTAATGTAGTAGTTGGGACCCTAAAAGGATTTGGGCTGTTTTAGCCTTGCACAACAGCTAGAGACGTTTTTGTAGTTATCCCAGCGGAAATACACAAAA